GGCTAAAAGCCCATAAAAGACTGTTGGAAAGCAAAAAGGATTAAAAATCCTTATACTCTTGTTCTGTTCATTCTCACGAAACAGAGAATCACGAAATAGAGGTTGCTTACTCACGCAGGCAACGGGACTTTTAGGTTTCTTTACAAATCACTAATTTTTGAATTTAAATATATAAAATTTTTTATTGAGAAATTACCAGCGATGTCCATTTAGAAGTAGTCCATTACAAAAATTGGTCAATTGATAAAATATTAATATTAGCCAAAATAGCCAATTAGCTATTTGTAGCAAAAAAATATCAAATTTTTACTTTCTTTTGAGTGGGTGCTATTAGAATAGATCGGGTATATCTTAAGGAGCTTGAATCTCAGTTTTGGGATGATTTTGTGAAGTTTTGACGTGGTTTGAATTGAAAATTCGAAGTAAAAACTGAATATGAAAAAAAATGATATGTGTATCACACTGTGTATCACATATGTATCATATTTGTATCGATTGTGTATCACATGTATATCTGTGTGTGAGATACATGCGTAATACATGTGTCACAGAAGAATTTTTTGACATCAATTTATTTATAAATTTTGATACAAAACAGTCCAAATCACCTCCAATCTTCATCAAATTTTGTATATTGACTTATCTATATGTTTTCAATGAATTTCGACTATATCCATTAAAAAATTTCTTGTTTGTTTCGATTTTTAGAATATTGGCTAAAGGTTGGTAAGTTGAAACTTATATGGGACATTTCTGTAAGTTTCCCTTTTCTATTCTCACTTATCCTACTGTATAAGAATTGGATAATTAATTCCCTTCTTTCTTTCTCTGTATCAACAGTAAATTCCATGTTTAGGTGTGAAACTTTTAAATTAATTAAAATGCACTAGTTATTGTATAATCGATTGTTTGACGGGTATAAATTGGACTGGAGCCTACGTATTGGCTCGAGGAGTTTTGAGGTGAGTTGATATAACCCTTTATTAAAGTGGTTTAACTCACAAAAGCATGCATGCAAGGTGTTTGATGAATTGCTTAAGAGAATTAATATGTACTTAATTGGAGTGAGTAGTACCTATTAACTTAGAATTGTTCTAGCTAAAGTTTAGATAATTTATTATGATATATGTGCATAATTTTTAGAT